GAATATGACATACAGAGGGGTGATGGTAGTTTGAAGTCAGTGGTCAACTGCCGGTTAATCGACTTTTTCGCCTTATGAGTATACTTTCCCCATGGTCCACCACGTGGAAGTAAGTCATCGCACACCCCTAACTTTCAATATAATTTCGCAAAAAATGGAGGACAATTTGGAATTCAGGAAAAAAGTTGACACGCTTCAGAGTGGATATCTGGTATACGGAATGTGATTTTAATTCATATTTTTCAACTCTCAGAGTGTACAGTTGGATATCGCGTCGTGAAAAGTAGTTCTATGAGGAAGCGTAGAGTAGAGCGTGACTCTTCGTATCGCGACTTCTTTTGTACCTCCATGAGTCGCTTTTCATATTATGATAGATAATAAAGCTATTTTGAGTTATCAAATACCGCTTTTACTCTGTTCTAAGTTAAATTCATGCTACAGTCTCCCACTCTTTGAAAATTTATTTGTGATTTATCAAAACATATTGTTTATCCTCGATGGTAATTATTATACTTTCTCGACTCTATTCATCTAAATAACGCTTTCTTTTACAAATGCAAGAATATAATAAGCATTTGCAAACTTTCTCTTTTTATATTTTATTTACTTAGAATCTGTTGGCGGTATCGGATAAGAAGGTAAAAAATGTCATGAGTTGGGCGTGCAATATCGTCGCCACATCATTGTCACGTCATTTTCATACCATGGCCACGGCAGTCCACAATATGGCAAATGGATAATAATTCAGTGATTAGTCCGTTGTTTGACAAGGAAGTCTAGGGATTGAGTTGGCTAGTAACAATCAGACGAAAGGATGTGTTTAATTTTTAAACTGCGGGGTGTGCGATAGACTTACCTCCACGTGGTGCACCATTGGCAACGTATTCTCATACGGCAAAAAAGTCTATTAACCGGCAGCTGACTTCTGACTTCAAACTACCATCACCCCACTGTATGCCATATTACGCAGCTTCCACAGTACTCATCTCACCTTTTCTCTGCCTTTGTGTCTGTCTGTCTCCTCTACATCTGCGAATCACTCTTCTGTTCCCCCTCCTGAATTGTTCTCACTTTGATTTCCTCCCTCTGCGAAGCCCAAAGTCAGCTAAATGACTAATGATAAATATTCAAAACGCCTGCCATTTGAAATAATTATAATAATTTTTAAACTGCTCCTAAATCTCTCTCGATAGGCTATAGTTAGTAATCATATTTTCTAACTCTAGGTTTTACCATACAATTTTATGACTTTAGTTTGAAAATTCGATTTAAAATATTTTTGTTTTATATTTATGTCCCTTTTAGACTGTGGGACACGTTATCGCTGTGTGCGTCATCGTATGCCTGCATGTCTGCTCGCCAGGATTGGGAGGTGCGGCGTACAACTCTGTGTGCATCGACCGTACAAACAGTGACCAATCATCAACCTCAGTTTGTTTAACCTAATCACCCATCCTAGTCATGAGTAGCTTCCTGCGTTTACACACTTTATCCGCAATATACGTCCTGAATAAACGTGCTCCGTGCTACACGTCTGTTTCCTTTATAGCTGGGCTATAGCTAAACTGGTTCTGGGAGTCTAGCTAGATGTTTGAGAATCTGCCATAGAGATTTCTGAGTCAGTCAGGCTTTAATAAAGTAGCAATCCGCTACAAGACTGATTCAAGGACACACATTTTACAAAATCAAAAACGAAAGGTTAAGATCCCTGTAACTTCTTCCAAATTTATAAGACGCGAAACAAATTTATTGGAATTACGTTAAACAACACTTTGGTAAATACCTCCTCAGACGGTGTTTTGAATTCTTTAATTCAATCTAAAAATTTATTATTTTAAGTTCTTTGAAATATATTTTGTAATTATTATTTTCTTGTGATAATAACAATGGAGCAATTTTAATTGTGGAAGTCGAATGAGGTTGGTCAACAGAAAGGTTGAAAGACGCACTGGAAGTAACGAGTCCAAGTTCATCTGAATTGAATTAAATAAGAGTTTTGTATGGAAATAGAAGTGGCTTTATTACTTGACTAAACTGCTAGCAATGACCTTAAAAGTAGCAAAACGGGGAAATTGACGATTATCAGTGTAATCAGTTCATGTCAGCTGATTATATACAGACCTCTCATTTTACTCTTTTAGGATTTGAAGGCTCTTTCTACTGGATTATCAGCTCATAGTTTAATTCCTAAAGTAGCGTTAAGTTTTCCGCAAAAAATTCATAACGGGATAAACACATAAGTAAATAAAGAATATACTAATTTCTCTTGTAGAAAAATAGCTGTGCAAAACCTTGTTGCATAAATTTTATTGGCAAGCAAATGTCAATTTGTATAAAGTCCCCTGTGAAACACGGTTTACTATCAGTAACTAATAAAAAATCAAATACACCACCACCCCTTACATAAAGATTAAAAGTAAAAGAATGGATCAATGGAATCTAATTATTCGAATATGGGGGGAAATACTCCACAATTAAATACTAGCCCATGTTTTCCAAACACATTTCCAATTGATAGATGATGCACTTAGTTCTTATTTGCCGAAAAGAATGAAATGAGAGAGTGGAGTTGAATGCTCTGGTGTCTGCGATAGTGTAAGAAATTTGAATTGCTATTAAGGAGTAATAAGTGGTACGCAGCGCAGTACCAATTTGATTCGATTGGGAATACTCTTGATTCGTCAACGCGTATTAGCTAATAGCTTCGTAAATAGTCTGATTGATACTGTGAACTTCATTTTGATACATTTAACATAATTTTTCCAACCATCGACTATGAAGGTGGTTTATGCAACAATTGAACCAAAGCCGGGTAAGCAAAATTCTTTAAAATACCAATTGACAATATTTGTTTTAATAGTGTAAGAATAGAATAAGCGCCCTAAATTAAGCAGCCGTGACAGTCACAAGTAATCAATCGATCATTGATTCGAACTCATTTAAACATTTCCTTAAAGGCCTTTTAATAATGCATCTTGTCATAGCCAATTGTAGGATTTAATGAAGATATTTGTTCATGGGATTAATTTTTTCCAATTAGATATTTTTAATTTGTAATGCTTTTTACTATATTTTTCATCAGGAAATATTTTTTGAAAATAAATTTAAACTGATTTAATTTTGGTAACCAGTGTTTTGAAAAGAAATCTTGATAAAGACTGAAGTCTATTTTCAAGTTATAAATGAATGGATAAATTAAGAACAACCAGATAAAAATTATTTTGAATTATGATTGAATTTTTCTTGGTATTTATCTTGATTTTAATGAAATAAACAAAAAATATATATTGCCTAATAATGTTTTTATTTATATTACACAAGATGAGTACCGTGAGTGAGATATGTTGGTTTGGAATTAGAATAAAATAATAAAAATTAACTTTAATGCGCATAAATTTAACTATAGCACAGCATAATTGCTTAATAATTAATGCAATTAAAGAATATTAAAAAAATGATTTTAACAGTTTTTTCAACTTCCATTATGCGTCAAAATCAGTGAAAGGTACAAATACGGGGGGAGTCGTAATTCTCACATATAATACGATGTCTTAACTGCTTAACTTACCAGTTTTCTAACCTAATCAATAATTGCCTGATAAATTAAATGTGAATTAAGATAAGAAAATGTTTTCTAGGGTACTGCGCGGCTCAGGTTATTCCCAACCAATCCTTAACACACTATCAAGATTGTAGGAAATTTTATTTTAAATGCTCAACACATTTCACAGCTTTTAAGAGTCCCTATTATTATTTGTTTTAGTGATTGACGACCCCCTTTGTGACCTATCATGTAAGTTAATTTGAAAATTTGTTTAAACAGTGCTTCCCATTTGAATATATCAAATCAGAGCCCTTTAAATTTTCAGGCATGGCTCTCAAGAAGTACTTGAGGAAGAGTGAGTCTTGAGGTTGAACTTATATTTCATAATAAAAGTTAACTCCTTACCAAAACAAGTCACAGTGATATGGGCCTGTTTTGTTTTAATGACCACCTGGGAATCATGTAAATAAACAGGTTGTGAGGCAAAACTAGAATTATACAGTTGGTATTTATTAAATTAAGTTCAGATAATTTTAAAACGCATTGAAAGTAAATGAAAGAACGACGGTAAAAAATGGAGAAATAATATGTCGTTCATTTTTTTGGGTCAAAGAGAGATGTCTTTAGGCCAAAGAAGTGTATATGGACCAGTAGACGATATGGCAGGAAGTAATATAGTGATAGAAAAACTTCATTTCATTCGTTCACGTTGTTCACGTTTACTTTATAATCACCACAACCCACGTTGTGATATCCTAATTGTTAAAAAATAAAAGTTAAATCAATCTCATAAAACCTGAGTAGTTTCATATGAGTAGTATTTATAACGTTTTGACTATTTGATTAAAATTAAGGATTGATTGATTTAATTTTACCTTGTCAGTGAATTAAAACGACATAGTTTTTAATGACGGATTTGCTCCTTTGACTTATTTATAACCGATAAAAATAAATAATTTTGTAATAGACGATTGAAATTTTTTAGAAACAAAACTGACGCGATTTTCGTTTATCATTTGCGTTCATGCCTTTAAGAGCTCACAATGCTTTAGATAGTCGAGGTCAATATCGGAAATCTTTTACCAATATTACCACTGAAACATCTTCCTTCATTTCGGTTAACGACTTGCATGCGAGACTTTTTTCATCAGTCAATCGTTGAAAAAGCATTAAAAAAGAATGAGAGAATTCCAAAAGTAAACATTAGTAGAGGTTATAATATAAGCGAGGGAAGAAAACTTTAAATAAGCCCTTATTTGAGAAAATCTAAATAAGTTGAATTTAGAACACATTTTAGGGGTAACTATTTGATGAATTAATAAAAACAGTCGCCTCCAAACGTCAAAATATCAATGCCTCGAGACAGATACTTTCCCACTCTCTCTCTTATTGATACCAATGTCATTTATGTGTCTCAACCGACATTGATGACGTTATTATCTTCCAAAAGAAACAAAGTTCAGATCAAAGGCGTTCTTTCTGACAATCAAATTATTTCCAATCATACTTTTGTTTCTCTTTGTAATTTTGAAACCTACTGCAATAGAATTTGTTGTTTGCAATTGATAAGGGTTTTACTAAACAAACCACATTCGTATTATAAACCTCACAGGCCACTAGATATCTTTGAAGCATTTCATTTAACCTTTACCATATCGTCCAAATTAGTTTAAAGGAGTAGTTTTTACCCGAGGCGTTTATGTTTAATATTAAATTGTTTATAGCCAAATACATCAAATAAAACTACTCAAAGTTAGGCAGAGGGTTTCCCATAAATATTGAATTTGCCATAATTATCTGACCTTCCCTACTATAACATCGATATCGATTAAATGAATGAATTAGAGCAAATTAGTTTACTGTTGTACTGTTAAGTGTACTTTGCTATAATTGAAATGAAATCTCTTGAACAAGCTAAAATGTGAGTAATTTAATAATTAGTATACTGTAGTCATTCTTACCTTTGTTGTGGCATAAAAAATGTAAATGAATTTACCTTGCAAAGCTATTACTTTGATTACATTTCAGAGCGCTGCTGCAAATGCTGCGATTCTTCCAGTTCTAGTTCAAGTTCCAGTTCAAGTTGTTCTTCCTCATCATACGACGTGAAGTGCACTTGTCGGCGACGCAAATATTACTGTCCTAGCTCAAGTTCTAGCAGTAGCAGTTCATCCTCATCTTCGGACAGTTCTCACTGCTGTTACTGTTGCTCATCATCATCTTCTTCATCATCGTCCTCAAGTTCTAGCAGCAGTTCTTCATCTTCCTCATCTTGTGATTATTGTCCTCCACGTAGACGCCGTGGCAAATGCTGTTAGTCCAATTAAGTCTTATTAACTTTTTGATACAAACGGTGAAGGGAATAACCATGCCACTGATTAAGACATTTTAGTGAGTGATTCTTGCTGTAGTGTTATTTTAATGAAAAAAGATCTATTAAAGATATTCCTCAACTCAAATACACTATTCATGAATGGTTTCGGAAAGGGGTTTGAGAGTGTTACCTTTTTACACTCCATGCAGTCAAATTAACTTCTTTCTTTCTGGTTTATTTAATTTAATTGTTATGGGTCTGAGGAAACTACCATCACCCCACTGTATGTCATATTACACAGATACACAGTACTCATCTCACCTTTTCTCTGCCTTTGTGTCTGTCTGTCTCCTCTACCTCTGTGAATCGCTCTTCTGTTCCCCCTCCCGAATTGTTCTCACTTTGATTTTCCTCCCTCTGCGAAGCCCAAAGTCAGTTAAATGGCTAATGATAAATATTCAAAACTCCTGCCATTTGAAATAATAATAATACGAAAACACACGAATGTTGAATGCTGAAGATTTCATATATAAATTTGACAGATATAATTAACATATTTTAACCTTCTGAGGTAATAAGCTCTTTTGCTCACATCTACGGATAAAAACGGCTTCTCTATCTATTTAATGCTGTGAAAATTTCTTTGAAACAAATGAGGA